CAGACTCTGCTGTTCTACATTTTAGGGTATAAAATAATTTTGTGCAGGGAAAAATGGTTGAGACTTTAGCAAGGATGCATCAAATTGATTTAAAGTGACAGTAAATGCAGGAAAACAGTTTTGTACTTTATTTACCAAAGAAAAGAGTTTTCCTCAAAAATTGAGTATATTGTTTTAAACATTGATAATAATTATTTATAAGCATTTTTAATAGAGAAGGTAAGTTTGTTTATGTAGTACATAGACAATGGTAATTCAAAGTGCTTTACATAAACAAGAATAAAAGAAACAAGAAAAAAAGCAACAATGAATAAAAATTGTTAAAACAAGTTTTAAGGGAATTAAAAAGAAATGAAAGACATAATAGCATGATCTGTCGGATGTAGCGCTGTGCTTATTTGGTAAAGGCACAGCTAAACAGATGTGTTTTCAGTCTTGATTTGAATGTGCCTAATGTTGGAGCACATCTGATCACTTCTGGAAGCTGATTCCAGCAGCGAGGCGAGAGGGAATAGCTGAAGGCAGATTCACCCTGCTTTGACTGAACTCTTGCAATTTCTAGTTTATTTGATCCTAAAGATCTGGGAGCCAGTGTTAAGACCTGAGGGCAGGAGTGATGTGCTCTGATTTCCTGGTTCTGGTCAGAATCCTGGCAGCAGCGTTACGGATAAGCTGCTGCTGCCTTGACTGTCTTTTTGGAAAGGCCAATGAGGAGGCTGTTACAGTAATCCACCCTGCTGCTGATAAAAGCATGAACAAGTTTCTCTTATGCTGTGTTCACACCAGACGCGGAAGAAGCGTCAATCGCAAGTGATTAACATGTTAAGTCAATGCAAAGGCGCGAATAGACATCCTGTAGTGTGATACTTGCTTATGAGGCGGCGCGAATGACGTGATTTGCGCGAATGAATCGGCGCGAGTTAACACACTTAACACCCGTATCGCACGTTTCACACGAATCGCTCGAGTTCTAAAATCTGAACTTCAGCGGACATTCGCGGCGCGTTAACCAATCAGGAGCTTGCTCTTGTGGGGCGTGATTATGACATAGTGACTGTTGTTGGTGTCCCGGGGGAAAATCCTCCTGCTCACACCAACATCAGTTCATCAAACTGGGCTCGGCTCAGTCAGAAGCACCGCTGAAAGCCTCCATCGTCCAGGTACAGTTTCTGAAAGAGTTGCTGAGCTCACAAAGCTGGTTGCACCTCAAAAAGATCTAGTGGACTCAGACACTGCTCCAAACGAATCGACAATGTTTATCAGCCTTCATAAAGCACATTAACACAGTTATTCTCTTAATAAAATCCTTGTTAGCCAATTAGCAACGAAGCTAGAGTCACTGGGCAGACAAGCCCTGTCCATCACACAATTCTGCGTCTGTTAAATGAAGCGGATTTGACGCGCAAATGAAGCGAGTAAATTCAAAATGTTCACGCGTCTATTAACGTGCAAATATCGCAATTTATTTGCGCGTTCCACATCTGGTGTAAGCACAGCATAAGCCCTCACTGGAAACAAAGAATCTAATTCTTGCAATATAATAGTAAAAATACATAAAATCAGTGTATATAATATAAAGACTATGCAATAATAATGGAAATTTAATTGCAAAACTTAATGCCATTGCAGAAGCAAAATACACTTTGTTTTAAATATATTAAAATTGAAACCAGTTCTTTTATATTGTAATAGTATTGCAGAATATTTGTTTTTTTTATTATACTTTATTTTAACCAAGTAATTAGAGCATTGGCGAGCATAAAAAGCTTCTTTCGGGAATATTAAAATATCAAACAACTCCAAACTTTTAAGTGCGAGTGTAAGTAACTTTGTAGAGGTCGAATAAATGATCATAATATCATTATTGTTACTCCGAAGTGTGTAGGTGCATAACTTGTTCTATACTATTTATGCTGTAAACATGTGTGATATCAGTAAAGCTTTCCGAGTGATTAGACTTATTGTTAGTGGACAATAAAACTGGCACACACACACACACACACAAACACACACACAAAATCTCTTGGGCTTACATTAAAGCCATATAAAGAGGACAGATATCAGATAGATATCAAAAGACTGTTAGCAAACACCAAGCAACTGCATTAACTACAATACAAAAATCACCAACACACCCTGGCAAACAAACACATCAGCAAAACAGCGTGATTTATGCACAGGTAGATTCTCTTTACATCACTGAAATATATTATGAATAAAAATATCTAATTTGATCAAGCTTATATAATTTCTAATTTGCATTAAAAACAGACAGGGAAACATTTTGGATGAAAGTAAGAGTGGATAGATAGATGGATATATGTACAGTTGATGGATAGATGGATGGACAGTTAGATAAAAGGATAGACAGATAGACGATTGATTGGATGGACAGTTGGATGAAAGGATAGATGGATGGATGAATCGATGACCAGTTGAATGACGGGATATATGTATGGGTGGATGAAAGGATAGATTGATGGATGGATGGTTGTAGAGTTGGACGTCAAGATTCATAGATGTATGGATGAAATGATAGATGAAGGATGGATGGATGGATGGGTGAACAGTTGGAGAAAAGGATAGATGGCATGGATGAATGGACAGTTGGATGAAAGGATAGGTGGATGGATGATTGGACAGTTAGAGAAAAGAATAGATGGATGGATGGATGGATGGACATTTGGATCAACAGATAGATGGATGGATGGACAGTTAGATGACATGATGGATCGATGGAGGGTTGCAGAGTTAAATGAAAGAATGGATGGATGGATGGATGGACAGTTAGATGAAAAGATGAATGCATGGATGGACATTTGGATAAACAGAGATGGATGGGTGGATGGATGGATGGATGGATGAATGGATGGATGGATGAGTAGATGGCCAGTTGAATGAAGGAATATATGTATGGGTGGATTAAAGGATAGATTGGATGAATGGTTGGAGAGTTGAATGTAAAGATACATAGATGGATGTATGAAATGATTGATGAAAGATAAATGGATGGATGGGTGAACAGTCAGATGAAAAGATTAATGCATGGATGGACATTTGGATAAACAGAGATGGATGGATGAATGGATAGATGGATAGTTGAATGAATGAATGGATGGATGGACAGTTGGATGAAAAGATGGATGGATTGACAAGCTTTTTTCAGGATAGATAGATACTGGAGATGGATGGATGAGCAATTGGATGAAAGGTTAGATGGTTAGATAGGTAGATAGAGGTTAGATAGAATAGATAGAAGGATACAGATTGGTAGAAGGATAGAAATGTATGAAAGGATAGATAGATAGATAGATAGATAGATAGATAGATAGATAGATAGATAGATAGATAGATAGATAGATAGATAGATAGATAGATAGATAGATAGATAGATAGATAGATAGATAGATAGATAGATAGATAGATAGATAGATAGATAGATAGATAGATAGATAGATAGATAGATAGATAGATAGATAGATAGATAGATAGATAGATAGATAGATAGATAGATAGATAGATAGATAGATAGATAGATAGATAGTCTTGATAAAGCGACTGACAGATCTGTTCCACAAAACACTGAGAGCTTTTATCAGCTTTGTCACATAATCTTCTTTATGAGCATTAAATACTTACGTATGACTTCATGTCTGACTAATTCTGGGTCAGTTGTGTCTTCGGGCCAGTCAGGTACAGGCAGGAGTGAGTACAGTCGCTGACAGTGACACTAATCCAGCACTGTGGAAATGAAATTGGGTTGGGCTGAATTTGTAATAATTATTTGTGTGTGTGTGTGTGTGTGTGTGTGTGTGTGTGTGTGTGTGTGTGTGTGTGTGTGTGGATAGGCTTTCAGATCTGTTTATAATCTACATGGGAATATATTGAAGGTCAGCACACTGTGGTCTGTCTAGTCTACTCATGGACTCGCAGATCCACAAACTTTCCTGTTTCTCAGCTGAACAGTTAATCTGTTACCAAATAGTAACTTTCAGTGGCACAAGGCTTCCAGATTTGTACAGGTTATCTTGAGTTAAAACACATAAAAGCGCCTTGTCTTGAGTCAAGATGTTGATTCAGGTCATGTGCAGGACACACATGCTCTTTATATTGTGAGTGTGAGAGTTTAGTATTGAATTTTGCTTGTATAGTAGCCGTGAGGTTAAACTGTAGGACTGATAACTGCAGATTTGTTGGCTCAAACCCTGCGAGTGACCTGAAGGGATATTTTACCAAAAAAAAAAAAAAATATATATATATATATTAATAATTTACTCACCATTTACTCACTCTCAAATGGTCCTAAACCTTTAGGAATTTAATCCAAAACACAAAAGAAAATATTCTGAATAATGTTGAAAACCGGTAACCATTCACATCTGTAGTAGGACAAAAGTATACTATGAAAGTCAATGGCTGCTTTTTTTTAACACACAGTTAAAAAGACGTATTAGCCCCGCTGAATTATTCGCCCTCTGTTTATTTTTTTCCCACAATCTAACGGAGGGAAGATTTTTTCAACACATTTCTAAACATAATAGTTTTAATAATTTATTTCTAATAACTGATTTATTTTATCTTTGCCATGATGACAGTAAATAATGTTTGACTAGATATTTTTCAAGACACTTCTATCCAGCTTAAAGTGACATTAAAATAGTGTTTAAAAAATTAAAAAAAGCTTTTATTCTAGCCAAAATAAAACAGATAAGACTTTCTCCAGAAGACAAAATATTATCGGACATACAGTGAAAATTTCTTATCTCTGTTAAACATCATTTGAGAAATATTTAAGATAGAAACGAAAATTCAAAGGGGGGCTAATAATTCTGACTTCAACTGTACATCAAAATATCTTCTTTCGTGTTCAATAAAAGAAAGAAACCAAACAGATTTTGAAGAGGTGGAGTGAGTAAATAATAATAGACTTTCCTGTATATATAAGTTATAGTAAATGATAATTGTTTTACTAATTTGCAACTTTTTACTTTTGTTTCCAGCCAGAAACTTCAATTTACAGAAATCCGAGGCCATGCTGCGCAAGGTATAATGCTTTTTCATTGTTTTTTTTTTGTGTTTTTTTTTAAATAGCTACACTACTGTTCAGTGGGTTTGTCAATAAAAAAACAAAGGAGAAAGAAAAAAAAATTATAACTAAGGCTATTTTAATTTAATTTTATTAATTATATTATATTATATTATATTATATTATATTATATTATATTGTTTTGTTATATTAAACAATTATATTGTATTATATTTTATTATGGTATAGTTTATTATGTTATATTAAAATTTATTAACATTATATTTTAAGTTATTATAATTTATTTTACTATAATTTATTATATTATATTATTTTATATTATATTAGTTTATATAAATTTATATTAAATTATTATATTATAATTTATTATATTATATTATATTATTATATTTTATTTTATTATAATTTATTTTATTATAATTTATTTTATTATATTGAAAAATATATTTAAAAATATATTTATTTTTATAATTTGACTTTTGTTTTATTTTTTGATGGCGAGTCTGAATTTCCAGCAACCATTTGTGATTATCATTAGTCACAAATGTTTGTGCTGCCAAATTAAGAAGTACTTTTATTTTTTATTAATTTTTATTTTTTTACAAACTTTAAGTATTCTAAAGTTCAAAAGAACACATTTGAAGTAGAAATCAGTTGTACATTTCTAATCTTTACTGTCACTTGCTGACAATATTGTTAACATTTATAAAAATAATAAAAAAAGACAAATCTATCAACCCTGGGCTGTTGAACAGTGCAATATCTTTATAATTACAGTTACCAATACAATGAATTCTAACCTAACATAAAGTTGTGTATACAGTCTTCACATTACGCAATGCATCCATACATGCATATTTTATTTGTCCCTTTTTAAGGAAATTGGTTTTGGGCACACAAGTGGAGAAAAATCAAGAATAATGAAACTCTTCTTTTTGAGAAATTTCTGTATTGATGAATTTGGATGTGACAGACCCTCACAATGCCAGGCTTTATGTCAGGGGGTTGGTCACTAAACCTATTTGAATAACAATACTATGAAATATGATCTGACTAATACTAGGCCCTGTGTTTACACCTGCTGATCAAGTTTCAAGGGGAATATTGCTGATTTCATAGTTTTGTACATCACTCATGAGATATTGCTACTGTATATGTGGATAAAAGTCAATAAGCAAATAAATAAATAAACTGGAAGGTTCTTTTCGTTGCACACCTCATGTAACCAGGAGTTGCAGGCTAAAATAATGAACATGTGGTGCAATTGGTTTACAAAACAACAAGCAAAATTAAAGTTTAAACTTCACTGGTAATTTTGCCACATAAACCTAAGATACTGGGGCTACAATATCTCCCCAATTTAAGTAATGTGAGTAATGTGTGGTAATGGTAATGTGTGCCATCAGTGGATTGCGAGTTGCTTAAGAAAAATGCATCTGTTATATGCATAAATGCAAATGAAGCATCATAATACACTTATATTTGTGCTTGTTGTATCAAATTATTCTTATAAACTTATAACTAGAGTCAATTCTTTTGAGGTTGAAATTCTAAAACATTGGTAATTTCTTTACCAATGAAATTACTTTACCTTTACCTTTTTCACTCCCAGCTTGTGTACATTGCATTGAACTTTAATGTGACCAAACATGAAAGAGTGCTGTCAATTTTATGTTTGCTGGAAGCTAAACATGTCATTTTGTGTTCAAAAACAGGATGGATGGATGGATGGATGGATGGGTGGATGGATGGACATTTGGATCAACAGATAGATGGATGGATGGACAGTTAGTTGACATGATGGATGGATGGTTGCAGAGTTAAATGAAAGGATGGATTGATGGATGGATGGATGGACAGTTAGATGAAAAGATGAATGTATGGATGGACATTTGGATAAACAGAGATGGATGGATGGATGGATGGATGGATAGATGAATGGATAGATGAATGGATAGATGGATAGTTGAATGAACGGATGGATGAATGGATGGATGGACAGTTGGATTAAAGGATGGATGGATGGACAGTTGGATGAAAAGACAAAACAGATGTATTAAAGGAATATATTTACTAAAGTAATACTTTATTCTTCAAACATCCTCAGAAACCGAAAGGTAATTTTTGCTCTATGGCTCCTCGGCTATGGAACTCGCTTCCCCTGGACCTAAGGAGCAGTGATAGTCTTTTAAATCTCGTCTTAAGACCCATCTTTTTGAGCAGGCTTTCTTATGACTATCCTTTACCATGTTACTTTATTCTTCGATGTGTACTTCAGCTCCTCTCATGTATTTAAAAGTTAGTTTGGCATTGCTTTTTTATTTTATTAATTGTTATTGTTGTTTTTGGTATATCTGTTGATGGTTGTTGTAAGGCGACCTTGGGTGTCCAGAAAGGCGCCATTTATAAACAAAATTAATTATTATGATTATACATTTAAATCATGCGATATTTGGGGGAAAAATACAAGATTTCAACAAATTTTTCTACAGTTTTTGTTTCTCTTAATTCTATTTTGCTCTTTTTATATTTTTTATTTAACATTTTTCCCTAACATAAATTTGGTTGGACGAATTTTTTACTGTTATCGTAAGTTATTTTGTTAGATAAGCTCTAGATTGACTAATCTAATGTGTATGTACACATATAATATTGTATAGCTTCCTTTAGAAAATATTAATTTAAACGAGAGATTTGTGAGGGGTGTATTTGTATATGTTGAGCACTGTCCATCAGTTCTGTGGTTAATTGTGCTTTTCACAACGGTGGAGTCACTTCACTGCATAATCACAGCTTATGAGCGATAACACTGTGATCGCCCTATTCTGCTGCTGTTCAAAGTGCTGTTTGCTTTCCCATTGAGAGTCTGATGCCTATGGGTCTTTTATTACAGAGCGTTGGGCTGCCATGTTGTAGTATCTCTGAACTCTGTCACCATTATCTGTTGAACACTAGGTCAAAGCGCAGCCGTATCCAATACACAGAGACTCGAGGTGGAAAACTGTTCATTCAGAACTGATAACAGCTTTGCTGTGGTGACGGATCTGATTTGATCATGCAAACACAGCTTTAGGCATTTTCATTTGAATGTTTTTAATCTTGTTTTGTTTTTCATGTGCAGCATATAGAGTTTCGGAAACACATGAAAGTTGACACCATCACAACCGAGTGGCAGGTGCCAGAGGTATGACACCCTAGCATCATGATTAATAATGCTGATAATGAATAAATAAATAATGAACCAGTCAAGCAAAGTAATAATTTACACAAACACACACACACATTTATTTTTGTGAATTGTGGGGACATTACATAGGCTTTCATTGTTTTAAACTGTACAAACTGTATTTTCTATCACCCTTACCCTACTCTACCCCTAAACCCCTAAACTCTACCCCAAGGGCCAAATTATTAGCCTTCCTGTGCAATATTTATTTTTGTTTCAAATATTTTACATGTGATAATTCACAGATTAAAGAAATTTTAATAGTTTTTAATAGTTATTAAAACTATTAGGTTTAGTAATGTGTTGAAATAAATCTTCCCTCCGTTAAACAGAAATTGGGGAAAAATATATTACTCAAATATCATATAATATTACAACAGATATGTATATATATTTATAGATGTATATGCGTGCGTGTGTGTGCGTGCGCACGTGTGTGTGTGTATACACACACACACACACACACACACATATATATATATATACATATATATATATATATATATATATATATATATATATATATATATATATATATATATATATATATATATATATATATATGTATATATATGTATGTATGTATGTATACATTGAAATGTAAGATTTCTTTTAATTATGTATTTTTCTCTCAAGTTATATATTTATTAGTAAACATTTCCTGCATATAAACATTAATAATTTAGTTTTACACAAAACAAGAATTACTCAAAACTCAAACTGACCTCTAGAAATAAGCAGGTTGTTTTTGGTACTTTACCTTTAAGAGTCGTGTATAGGACCACCTTATGATTGGATCAACAGCTCATGCTCATTATAATAATGTTTATTTTAAGCATGTACAGTCAAAGTCAAAATCATTAGTCCTCATGTTGTTTTGTTTTTTTTTTAGAAATATTTTCTAAATGTTTACCAGACCAAGGAATTTTTCCAGAGTATTTACAATAACATTTTGTCTTCTGGAGGAAGTCTTACTTGTTTTATTTCAGCTAGAATAAAAGCAGTTTTTAATTTTTAAAAGCCATTTTAAGGTCAATATTAATAGCCTCCTTAAGCAATATATTTTTTTCAATAGTCTACAGAAGAAACTATAGTTACCCTAACCAGCCTAATTAACCTAGTTAAACCTTTAAACTGCACTTTAATCTGAATACTAATGTCAAGAAAAATATCTAGTCAAGTATTATGTACTGTCATTATAGCAACAATAAAATAAATCAGTTATTTGAAATGAGTTATTAAAACTATTATGTTTAGAAAGGTGTTGGTATAAATGTTCCCTCTGTTAAACAGAAATTGGGGAAACTGTGCATTATTATTATTTATTAGTAAACATATTTCATTCTCTGTGTTTTGGTCAGGTCATAGATAAGTATCTTTCTGGTGGCATGTGTGGACACGACCGTGAAGGAAGCCCGGTCTGGTATGATGTCATCGGGCCGCTGGACCCAAAGGGTTTGATGCACTCAGCCTCTAAGCAGGACTTAATCAAGTCTAAAGTCAGGGACTGCGAGATTCTGCAGAAAGATTGTGATCGACAGAGCGAACGGGTAAGTGTGCAGCTGTCAAATGGCAAGAAAAGACTTACTTTGTATATTTTTTCTAATATGGATCTCAGTGGCTACTGTTTTGGAATTAAACCTTGGATGAATTTTCATTTGTGGATGGTCTATCCTTTTAAGATACATTGAAAAACTGAGGGTAGAATAACTTACAATGGCTATCAGTGATAATTATATCATTGGCTTTGAATGAATACATATTTATTATTTTATGTTTGTCTTTTACCTCTTCCTTTTCCTTTCAGTTGGGTAGGAACATTGAATCCATTACTATGGTCTATGACTGTGAAGGTCTGGGAATGAAGCACTTATATAAGCCTGCTATAGAGACTTATGGAGAGGTGCGTGTGTGGGTTTTTTATTTGTATGATGTGATATTTTGCTTGTTGCATTGGTCTGCATCAGTCTTTTTTTCTTTCATAGGTTCTCACTATGTTTGAAGATAATTATCCAGAGGGACTTAAGCGATTATTTGTCATCAAAGGTCAGTAGTTCTGCAAAAAAAAAAAAAAATTGTTTAAATTTATTAAAATGTTGATGTTAAAGATTTATACATTGATTTGTGTACTGATGTCTGCTATAAAAACACTATAGAAGCTTGTTTCTACCGTGGTATAAAAATAAAAACAATAACAAAACTTTTTTTATCTTACAATTCTGACTTTTTCATCACAATTTTAAATTCATGTCTCACAAATGACACTTTTTTGACCATTCAGAAAGTCAGAACTGTAAGATATCACTCAGAATTATGGAGAAAATGGGCGTAACAATGAGGGGACAATAAATATAACATTTTCTTATGATACATTTTTGAAGGGGACACAAATAATAGTCAAATTGAACATATATAAATTATATATGTCCAGAAGTGTTTACTTTATTTAGGACTTAAGGACAGAATAAAAATTGATTATACAAAAAATAGAGTGGGGCCAGTTTGGAGGTTGCCCAGTCCTTATTTAGTTTTTTCCATTTACGACTTTCTTTATTTTGGGAAGACTTGACTATTGCAACTCTCTATATGTGGGTATCAGTCAAAATGCCCTGATTAGATTGCAAATAGTCCAAAATCTGGCCGTAAGACTTCTGACAGGTACTCGCAAGTATGAGCACATATCACCAATTCTCTCCTCTCTGGGCTGACTGCCTGTTAGGTCACAGATTGATTTTAAACTACTAATCTGGCACCACCTTACTTATCAGACCTCCTACATGTATATAATCCTGGTAGGTCACTAAGGTCTTCTGATCAATTTATTCTTTCGGGACCAAGGTCCTGGTGTAAGTGAAGTGGGGATCTGGCTTTTGCTTTTCGCCCCAAAACTCTGAAACAGGCTTCCACATCATATTAGACACGCTCCAACTCTATCTGTTTTTAAAAAGCTTCTGAAACTTCGTCTTTGTTTTTTAGCATTTAAGCCTTTTTAGTGTTGAGGGGTTTGCCTTATTTTTTAGTTGTTATGTATGTGATGTAGGATTCATTTTAATAAGTATTGATTGTGTTCAGCACTTGTGAAAATGTGCTATATAAATAAAATAACTAAAAACTAACTATCTAACTAAAGAAAATGCTAATTGTGACCTTTAATGTTAAGTTAACATTATGCCAAGTCGTCACAAATAAAACAAAGCATGGGAAACGGCTTTAATGAATGCTTTAATGAACGCAACTAATTTATGAATAAGTCCCCTCCGTTCCTCTTGTGATTTATGCCCGTGATGGAGAATAATCTAAAACACAACATTTACAATTCTAAGAAAAATTCTGGCTGAATTATGACAAACTCTGGTAGAGTTTCAGGTTCAAGTCTCACAATTTAACCTGAATGAAAAATATAAACATGTAATCTGTAGATAAAAAAAAAAAAAATGACGCAATTCTGAGTTTATTACTTGCAATACAGACTTTTGCCTTGCAGTTGTGAGTAATCTTCTGATTTTAATCTTTTCTTAGTTGCCTAATTGCACATTTTTATGTACTTCCTGACCAATTAAAAAAATAATTCTTATAGTATGAATATGAGTATTATGAATGGAATTCAGACTTCCTCCATGCATTTGTGAGTTATCTCGCATTTCTACCCTTTTCTCAGATTTGCGAGATTTAAATTCACAGTTTAGAGTTGATGCTGTGAGATACAAAGTTGCAGAAAAATATCTCGAGTTGAGACCTTGAATTGAAAATTGAATGACAATTGTTTCTGTTGCAGCACCTAAACTGTTTCCTGTGGCGTACAATCTGGTGAAGCACTTTCTGAGCGAAGACACACGCCGTAAGGTCATCGTCCTTGGATGTAAGCTAACACATGCTTCTAACTGCACCAATGCCGCCTTTACTTTTTCTTTTGACAACACTCAGAAAATCCCGATCTGACTCCATCTTGCTTAATTGTATCTCGTTTTGCTTAAAATCTTTAGCTCAGAAATTGGCTCTGGTGATTCTTGTGTTTTCTTAATTTACAGTGCTCAGCATAAATGAGTAAAAAAATTAATATTTATATTAATTTCTCAGTTAATATAGCTGATATATTTTGATGGATTTAAACAAAACCATTTTATTAAACAGTTATATTTATTAAAATAAAAGTGTGACCATCAAACATCTTTAGGAATAGAAAGATAACACCTTATTAGAGTTATTACAAAAAAAATATATATATAAAAATACAGAATTTTAACCTAATTTTATATTATTATGTTTCTCTTGATTTCTCCTGTTTATTATGTTTTATTTTAGATTTTTCCCAACATATTAATTTGTGTATACTCATTTTTGCACTCTGATCTTAAGTGATTTTGTTGTTAGATTACTTCTGGTTTTGGCTTTGATACTGACTAATTCAATGTACATGCACTAATATATTAATATTAATCATTCTGTAGAAATTATTCATTTAAATGACAGATCTGTGAGAAGTCAATTAATTATTGCTGAGCACTGTATGCATAACTTACTGTATGTTTGACATGTTGTCAGTCGCTACAAACTATAATATAAATGCACTGTTTGGTGCTTATATTAACAAACAGCATGAGTTTACAGTAAACCATTTGTTACAGCTTACTGTTCTCCCCAAAAAAATAAAAAAATCTGTATATAACAACCTGTGGCGACACAGTGGCGCAGTATGTAGTGCTGTCACCTTACAGCAAGAAGGTCGCTGGGTTGCTTGTTCAAGCCTCAGCTGGGTCAGTTGGCGTTTCTGTGTGGAGTTAGCATGTTCTCCCTGCAATCGCGTGGGTTTTCTCCGGGTGCTCCGGTTTCCCCCACAGTCCAAAGACATGTGGTACAGGTGAATTGGGTAGGCTGAATTGTCTGTAGTGTATGAGTGTGTGTGTGAATGAGTGTGTGTGGATGTTTCCCAGAGATGGGTTGCGGCTGGAAGGGCATCCGCTGCGAAAAAAACATGCTGGATTCGTTGTGGCAACCCTGGTTAATAAAGGGACTAATGAATGAATAAATGATAACAACCTGTCTCAAAACTATCAATGATCCCTATAAAACCTCTTATTTATTTAGAATCAGTAAATATCATTTCAAGCAGGTAAAATTGACCCTTGCAGACTACTACTTTTATATGGCTAACAAGCATGTTTATGTTTCTGTTTTATGCCATTGTCTTACTGAGTAATGGTTTCTCCACACTATCAGACTCATCCTCGCTCAAGACATTTAATGCCTCTAATGCCTGTTTGGTGTCTATAAACCGCCTTCTTTTATCCATCAAGACTAAACTGATTACTGATTATCTCAGTGGGTGAAATGCGTTGCCTGGTAACATAGATCACTAAAACACAAGCAGCATAGATTACATGTATTGGCATTATATAGGTATTAATGGCTTGTTTTTACTTTTGTTTCATCTAATATATTTTTAACAACACAATAATTGTTGTAAATAAGATTTTTTTTGTTAAAGCCATTGACTGAGAGACTTATCAGACTGATTTCCATTTAATCATTCATTCATTCATTTATTTATTCGTTCATTGTTTAAGTCCCATAAAGATATAGTATCTCTTCTAGAAAACAAATTATAAACATTTCCATAACACCACACCAAACAACTGAATCTAAAGCACAACAACACAAATTCTAATCGGCTGTAAAACATTTACAATGATCTATAAAAATAAAAAGATATTTTATACATAGCAATAGATGGTATAGATTCCATATGAGATATGTATCAGTATCTGTATGAATAATTGCCAGCTTTAACTAAAGTTACATCTGCCATATGTTAAACAAACTAGACATATAATAATAAAATAATGTGTAAATTTGCTCTTTAAGCTTAATGAACAGGGTTCCTATGGTCATAGAATTTCTGGATTATCTTGACATTTTTAAAAGGTTTATTCCAGATATTGAAAGTCAGTGAATTATTATTATTATTATTATTTTTTTTTTTTGGTCAAAGTGATGGAATATCTGGGATTTTTTTTAGCACTTTTTAAAAAAAATTTAATTTATCAAAATGTAGTTTTTCAATATTATTATTTTTTTTTTTATATCACACTGTTTCATATCACATACCCATTGTTATGGTTACTCTTAAGCTCCACTTATTTTATTTTTTATGCTCATAAACTTGAAGTCACAAGACTGAACCTGTTAAATAAGGCTAACATGCTTGGCTAATATACATTTTAAGAGCTTTGTTTTCAAAATGACCACTTCAAAAGGTGTTAAAAAGTAGATGACAGAAAAGTTAAATGTAAAGTTCTCATAATGGCTATCAAAGTCAAACAGATAATATTCCATTTTAATATTGTTGAGTCCAGTATATTATTCATTCATTCATTCATTCGTTTTCTTTTCGGCTTAGTCCCTTTATTAATCTGAGGTTGCCACAGTGGAATGAACCGCCAACTGATCCTGCATATGTTTTAAAGAAAAACAAAAAAGGGAAGGGAATTGAATAAATTAAATTGGCTGTAGTCTACAAGTGTATGTAAATGCGAGAGTGTATGGGTGTTTCCCAGCATGGGTTGTGGCTAGAAGGGCATGCGCTGGAATAGATGGTGGTTCATTCCACTGTGGCGACCCCTGATAAATAAGGGACTAAGCAGAAGGTAAATGAATTAATAAAATGTTATCAGACCTTTGTAGAATAAAGCAAATTATACTCAAAAATACAACAATAAACCCAAAGAAACTGTGAATTCTAGATATACAAATATAGATAAATAATATATTCATGATAAAACATTAATTGTAAAATGTATTTATAAAAAAAGTGCTCTGAAGTCTACAGCCGTCCTCCAGATGTTTATGAGTCACGTTTACTCACACATTTAATTTTTATCATCGTCAAGTGAGCTGAGATTAATCATCTGTGTGTCTCCTCAGCAAACTGGCAGGAGGTTTTACAGAAGTACATCGACCCCGAGGAGCTGCCCGCATATTATGGAGGAAAACTGACCGATCCTGATGGGGACCCCAAATGTAGAACTAGGGTGAGTAAAAGAAAACTAGCACACGTCATAGTCACACTGACTCACTAACGGGGTGATCCTAAGCTTTAAGAATGCCAGATTTCTGCTTTTAATTCTCTGTTTGAGTGGACTGGCACTTTTGAAGGAAGTTGCTAAACTCACAAGACATTATAATCTAAGCGTCTGTTTGTTAGTTTAGTCTGAAGTCAACAAGAAAGTACTTTCATTTAGAGATGGAAGGAATTTCTGAGTTTGCTGTTTAGGGTGCTTATGTTGGGCTGTTTTATAGAAAATAAGAGAGTAATCAAAACTGAACTAAACTGCGCTTGAACATCTTCACTGCAAAATATTTAGTTTTTGTCTTCTAGTCTAAATGAAATACATTCACTTAAAATAAAAAAACAACAGCATTTTACTTACCTGACTGGCTGATTATTTAACTTGTTTTAAAGAAAAACTCACTTCTTTTTGATTTATTATTTCAGAAAATAAAGCACTATTTTCTTACTCGTCTAGTTTTAGCTTGATTTAAAAATTCCTTTGATATTTGGACAAGAAACAAGACAAAAACTCAAAAAAAGAAAATCTTTTTTTGCAATTGAATATACTGTCTAAAATGTTTAGATGCTAATTTATATGTATAAAAAAAATTAAAAAGGTGCCAAAGTTTAAAGACATGTTTATATTCATTTTTAAACACAAGAATACTAATATTTCATCTTCAGAAGACTTAAAAAATGAATATGTAATATAATTAATATGTGATTTCCAATCAAAACAATCAACTGTTGTTTTCCCAAAAAAGACAAAATACTTTTAAAATAATTTTTAAAGAAATGTTATTAGACCTTTGTAGAATAAAGCAAATTATATAAATAAAATAGAACATTTTACTGGAAAATACCTGATTAATCTACTAAAAATAAAGAAACTGTGAATTCTAGATATGGAAATATACTGTCAAATTCAGAACTTTTATTCAATCAGCGAGTTTTATTGACCGGAAATTACACGGGCTTCTCCCAAAATATAATAAGACAAGAGGCATCATTGTGGGGAAAAAATTATTTCTTTAAGTAAAAATATTTCTTTAAGCAACTTTAAGTCAGAATTTGCCATGGGTATGTGTAATTTCAGGCTTGACTATAGATATATAATATATTCATGATCAAACATTTATAACAAATAATCTAAAAATTACTTTAAATTTAAATAATTTATTGAAGAAAGAAAGTCTTAATATCCAAAAAGAGTAAAACCGTGTGAAAAAGGATTTTACCCAGTGGAAAATCTACTATCAGCAGTTCATGTAGAGATGCAGTCTTTCTGTCAAACCAGCAAATTACAAATGTGGAACAAGATTAAGATCACAGTTTTTATGACAATTGACTATACAGTTGAAGTCAGAATTAGCCCCCCTGAATTATTAGAGCCCCTGTTCCCCCCCCCCCATTTTCTGTTTAACAGTGAGAATAATTTTTCAACACTTTTCTACTTTTCTAAACACAATAATTTTAATAACTCACTTCTAATAACTGATTTATTTTATCTTTGCCATGATGACAGTAAATAACATTTGACTAGATATTTTTTCAAGACACTTCTATACAGCTTAAAGTGACATTTAAAGGCTTAACTAGGTTAATTAGGTGAACTAGGCAGGTTAGGGTAATTAGGCAAGTTATTGTATAACGATGGTTTGTTCTGTAGACTGTTGAAAAAAAATTGCCTAAAGGGGCTAAATATTTTGTTCTTAAAATGGTGTTTAAAAATTTAAAACTGCTTTTATTCTGGCCAAAATAAAACAATTAAGACTTTTTCAAGAAAAAAAATATTATCAGACATACTGTGAACATGTTCTTGCTCTGTTAAACATCATTTGGGAAATATTTAAAAAAGAAAAAAATACAAAGGGGGCTAATAATTCTGATTTCAACTGTCAATATAGTCTCTTTCTACCAGCTCTGCATCACTCAGTTTAAAGCAAGAGCACTGCATGTGAAAAGGGTAAATAAAAGTTATCAGTGTACTTTCCCTGTGGATTGATTACATTAATAATTGCAAAAAAAAAAAGTTTTTAAAAGTTTTTATTTTAAATGTTTTAAATATGCAAATAGGAATTATTTAATTAAATAACCAATAAAAACAGGGCAATCGGAATAAAACCACAAGGAGTCATTAATTACGTGTTCTAATTTTTTATTATTTAAGCTTCTATTGTACTTACTACGTATGTGGGACTCTTATTTTGAAACGAGACCAGCACTATAGAGCTCTCAGGTAATGCAACAGGCATGGAGGATTGCATAAACCTCTCAACCACTTTTGTTTTTCTTTAGTATTAGTTAAGTTAGTTTAGTTACTTAAATTAATTGTTTATTTTATGTTGTGCGTGTGTGTGTGTGTGTGTGTGTGTGTGTGTGTGTGTGTGTGTGTGTGTGTGAGTGAGAGAGGATTTGCACTGAAAGAAAGAGCTGATGCTGACACTGACATAAGATGCGGACTGTCATAACAGAGCTCATTAATATTCATGACCCTTCCATATACGGTCAAAACCGAGCTTTTCATTCTACTGTAGTTCTAAATTAGCATATAATCAATTTCTGCACAATTTTTGCACTTACCTAAGCCACATATCTACTATTTATTTATCAGAGAACAATCTAACATAAATTGAATTATTGCATTATATGGCACCTTTAAAAATTGACAGGTGCATGATAAAGTGTGTTTTTGCCTGGAGTGTCTTGCCTTTTTGCATATTTACGTTAATTTAATCCATACCGTAGCAGCTTCCTGCTTATCTTAATACCAGTAAAAACACACTTCATACAGTATATATCATTACCATACAGAGCAACAGGGTCAACTTCCATAGATGTCCACGTCTCTACATAAATCAAATGATTGTTTATCTTACATCAAATTATCTTTATTTTTCTACTTGCGCAGCATTATAGACTTGCAATAGTCTGGTGTAATTTGGATGAGAGCCCAATGCATTGCTTCACTGGTTATTGCATAGGCTGATTACTTGGTTGAAGCTTTGAAACACATGACAGGACTAATCTTCTCCTGCAATCTGTCTTAGCGCTGCTGCAGTTATGATTCAGTTTGTGATAAATCCTCAATGTGAAGAGCAAAGGGCTGTTACAAATCACACTGTCAAACGGACATAACACATAACCCTCTGATATCCCGTATTTAGTTTTCATACTTGTTTCTTTGAGTGGTTACGAGATAATTTTATAAAAATAATTTAAAAGTAATCTCTAATAAACTTTATTTTGTTTTAATAGTGTATTCAATGCTACGAATAGTTTCAGTAAAATTAGCAAAATAAAATATATTTATCATCACATTTAAATGACAAATGTTTTTCTAATTCTGTCATTTTTAGCCATTTTACAAATATTTTAAAAGAGCAGCATTAAACATCACATTTATAAGTAGAAAAACATTCAATTGTTTGTCAGATAAGTGACATTCTGAGTCGATCTCTTTTGTATGCTGTAGTGCTGTATTTACACCACAGACACTGGTAGTATTTGCTTTGCTTTGGCTTTTTGGTGGTTAATTATTGTGAACTGACTGCAACAGAAATACTGTGAAATCTCTGTAGACTGATGCCGTTTTATGCCGTTCAGCCTTATAATCTTTAAGGTCACATTTACACTGCATGGTTCAAGTGACTCAATTCCGATTTTTTTGTCCCATATGGCACAGATCGGATATGGCCCATGTACATGAAAAGCCTGGTTTATACTTCTGCATCAAGTGACCGGCGTAACCCACAGCGCATGCAACGCCCGTAGCTGTGCATTTATACTTCTGCGCACTGTCTCTGTTGGTCTGCATTAACACTTCCGAAACGCTAGTGGGCAGTGAGCTGTTAATGTTCCTCTGTGTTGAGTTTCTTCGCTGCTGTTTTGCTTTTCCTGAACACTTCCTGGATGTACAAGTGACTCAAACTTGCTCATTTTGAGGCAGGAACCGGCGGACGTGCAACAACTTTAACTATGAGGTAAACACAAAACAAAACTTTCCATCCGGAGCTCCTTCACGGTAGTGTGTTGTAAACAATCGCTCCATTGGGCTAGCGCCGCTCTCGCCCCCGCTCAGACTCGTCAGCGCTACCAAGCCGACCAATCACAGAGCTTGCGCTACGCGTTGTTGCGACGTGTAGTTACATTTTTGAGAGGTGCACGTCAGTGACGCCGACGGCCACGGCGAAGGGCTATGCGTCAACGCCGTAGCATACGCCGGCGTTTGACCCAGAAGTATAAATCAGCCTTAAGCAGGAACAAATCTCATGGATTCTGATTTACTCAAATCAGATTCAGGCCTTGTTCATATGTGGAAATTTATCCGATATGAATAGATCTGTGTTCTCGTGTCTGCAGTGTAAGCAGGTAGATCAGAGTTTCACCTGTCAATGTGAGTCGCGCGTCATTAAAAGACGTAGCGAATTATTTCAAGTCTGATGCTTACATTTCAGAACAGACTTCAGCAGAGTCCCAAACCTTAAATCTCATACACGAGAACTTAAACAGCTTTCATATTGTCATATAGCACAGGTATTTAAGTTATTAATGAGAGCGAGAGAGCACAAGATCCACCACGTAACCAATATCAACTAATATAAAACTAGTACATAGCTACATCATTTGCATAAATCACGCCATGGAGATTACATTAAGATGCCTAAAGGTTTAAAAAGACAAATAAGAACCTTTCTGTCATAAACTAGAGTAAAACAGCTTGTCAAAAGCTGCGAACAGATTACATACAGAACAGAGAAAACAGCACTCTTTAATTATCAGCTGTTAGTCAGCGCTCACTCTTTTTTTTTCTGGTCATTGCACCTTTGCCGTGTGCTGTGTAAATGCAGACAATCGAACACGAGTCACTTTTAAAAGATGATGTAAGCAGGTCATCAACGAAATCGGATACAGTCACAAAATCGGAATTGATCATCAAGATCTGCAGTGTAAATGCAGCCAAAATGTGAGCGAAATCACCTGTTTTTTTCATCACTTTAGACATTACGCTAGAGAATCATTCAAATACTAGCTCTAAAGTGATGTTGGTGAACTGGCAACGGTTTCTGCTGTTCTGACGGTCAGCTGCAGATGTTAATGAATGACGGAAGAAAGTAGTTCCTTATACAAAAGGGTTTTTGAGACTCTCCATGTTTGATTTTCTTTTTATATACACAATTTTGCCGTCAAACTGTTGTATAAACACAATATCATACTCAGCAGTGTGATATTTCTGTATATTGTCACTAGTGGGACAACTCACAGGTTGGGGTGTTGGTTGGGAGAGTTTGAACGTTTCTAAGTGCCCACACCATTTTGGGCCCCCCAGAGTTACTATTTGGGGCCTACTCTTCAATTTCGTCTGCAACCCGACAAAACCATGTTCACTTTCGTCCGTCAGAATGTTTTCATAGGGCCTGTAGCACCCAGCGGCAGCGGCGTTGACTACATATATGGCCTTCCTTAGTTGTTTATTTTTAGACTTGATTACTTTTTAACGTTTAGTTGGCTGAAAATATTTTTTCCTATTTGTTTCAGGTCACATTTGTGACTGCTTTTACAACTGTTTAGTCTTTTGTGTGTGTGTTGATTCAGGAAGTACCACAAAATCATGTCATTTCATTCTAATCAATTTTCAGTTTAGTTACATAAAACAATGTAGAATTGTAGACCACCCAAGGGTTAAATATGTGTCTCTTCTCCTGTTCTTCACAATTAAAACAGAGTTTTATGTCTGCATGTAGATACACAGGTAAAGCTGCTGCCCCTTTCAGGACTGGAAGTGCTAAAACACCTCAGAAGACTTTGTGAACACTTAAAGTGGACTGATAGTTAGATGTTTTTTTTTGTTACAGATATTTATTAAAATACATTTTGTGGAGTGTTGTTGCACTGTAACATCACACAAGTCAAAAAATGTTTGTGTTTTCTGCATTTAATTCTAGAGACTCAAAGATGGTAGTAGTTATTTTTGTCTTGAAAGAGCTTTTTCATCACTGGTGCAACATGTGGACGGCAGTTTCATTGCCTATTAAACTTGCAATTAACCTTAAAGAAAACCACAAGAGCACTTCCTTTATGGAAAATGGCTAAAGGGGAGGTTAGTATACAAGAAAGTTGCGTGTCTGCTGTTGATCACAAAAAAGATCATGAGATATTGCAAATCACAGCTTTTCCACTGAAGTATCTTTAGTCAAGGAGGTTTTATGGAGCAAGTTTTAAGACTGTGGCTCAATCCCAGTTCAGTTTTATAACATATTACATGTTCATACTTATGAGTGCAGAGAAGTGCCGGTAATAATGGGCCAAAAATGTGATCGCAAATACTCACGTTTCAAGTTTTTTGTGTTTGCATTTTGCATATAATCTAAATACATGTACTGTATATCCCCTTACTGATAAAATAATACTCAAAAGTAAGGGTCATTTCTAGTATTCAGAAAGAATGCATAGTGCAAGTGTTACATTAAAATAAAAAGAATAATAAATGCCTTTGATTATGAGATTTAGTTGTGGTACTGTAAAGGGCGAATTATACTTTCGCCTGGTGCCGCATCGCGCACCTCCGCTAACTGTGCCAGCACCTCGCGAAACGCCGAGGCTTTTATACTCGCCGCATTCGCCGTTGTGATATTCTTTCAAATGACAGGGGGCGGTCAAAAGAAACCCACCGTAAAGTCAGACGGATAAACAGAAAAGTAGAAAGTTTCCAGAACTACGTCATATCATAATATCGTTCAATATTTTTAAACTATTGATTTTTTATTGTTTGTATAAATTATTTTAATGATTATAAGCATTTTTGTACCAGTCAAGATTTTTTTAATCAAATCACTTGCTTTTGTTTATATCTCTGACAGTTTTACCATTTTAAGTTTATTACAATATTAATTACAAGAGAGCATGAGTTGCTCAACAAATATATTTTTATTATAGCAAGAATAAAAAGAAAATAAAGAAAAAACATTTTTAGAAAAAGATTCTTTTTTTTTTTTAGATTTAGCCGGCTCCACAAATACACAAATCAGTGTTAAAGCTATGACTGGTGGAAAAACATATTCTGTATTTGTAATTTATGACGACAAAACATGAGTTACTCTACAAATATGTTTTATTATCACAAAAATAAAAGCAAAAAAAAAGCACACTTACTAAAAAATACAGATGTTTTTAGACTTCGCTCCTCAATTCACACATTACTGTCTGCTTAGTTTCTGTCCTCCTCTTATGCTAAAAAGGCAATGATAGTCCAACATTACAGATCATTATCACTAATAAAGCCTAGAGAAACAGGGCATCAGTATATTGTAAACCGATAGGTAAAAATTCCTTCCCAGTTATCAAAGAAATACTTCTGTGACTTCATCATAGTTTTGTAACGATTAAACTGTTTTAAATAAAAAAATTTTACAAAATACATCAGTGTAAAACCTATAAATGGTGGAAAAACTTATTCTGTGATTGTGTAACTGGCTCACTTCTGCCATGGTGGTCTCTTTTGGCTTTAATAAACTTATCTTTCAGTTTTTTCCAAACGTTTTAACAAAAACTTTCTTCTTTCCCACGGCTGTTGCAATTTATAGGCAAGAATTATTGATTATCTGGTTATTTCTCTGATCATGGGTCATAAGATGTGTGTACAGTCGTACTGTTTCAGACAAAATCTCTTCAAAGTGTTTCATATTCAACTCAAATCAGTTGTGGCACCGCGCACTGTTCGCTCGAGTCTCAGAAAGTGCCCTACGCACCGCCAGCCGAAATCATGCCGCGCGCACTCAAAGCGAATCTCCGGAAACTCCGCGATGACGTCACATTCGCCGCTTGCACTCAAGCGAACAAGCGGAAGCGTTGAGTATAAACAAGGCTTTAGTAGTACAGTACTATTTAAACAACAGTTCTGTCTGGTTCTTGATCTGATTGACTAATAGCCTTGTGATATTCTGCAATAGCAGCACTCCTACAGCCTCTTTACCCTTCACTTTTGTGTATTACTCTGCCCACATACAGCAACAAGCTGAGGACACCTTACAGTTTGACAAATATTGCTGCTGTTGGACAACATAATGTACCTTTGAGACTTTTTTAGTCGAGTATGTAGTTGTTTAGATTGCAACTGTGCAGTTTATTTATAAGGATAGTGCCTATTTTTAAATATTTATCATTTCAGAGATTCAGTGTATCGGGCACCATCAGCCTGTCTGAGCAGACCAAAGAAAGTGACGGTTGACGTTCCGCCACATGATGGCGACAGAAACCGCAAAAGTCGTTAGAGGGAGAAAAACTCCACGTTTTCTCAATGTAAATTTCAAACTACAGCTGCACAAATCAATACCAATTATATATGTGACATTCTGAGGCTATTTCTCTCTTTTGTATGTTGTAGTGCTGTATTTATACCACAGAAAGCTTGTGTTTGCTTTGCTTTGGCTTTTGGGGGTTAATTATTGTGATATCCCGATTGCAACAGAAATACTGTTCAAAATCATTCAAATACTAGCTCTAAAGTGATGTTGGAAAAGTATAAATGGTTTCTACTGTTCTGACGTCAGCTGCAGATGTGAATGAATGGTGGAGGAAAGTAGTTCCTCGTACAAAATTGTTTTTGAGACTCTCCGTGTTTGATTTTCTTTTTATACACACGATTATGCCAACTGTTGTATAAACACAATATCACACTCAGCAGTGCGATATACACTCACACTCAGCAGTGCGATATAGATGATATATATAACCATCTAAATCGCAGCGTCAGCCCATTCAGAAATAAGTTTTTGTGCAAAAGCCGCTAAACGCCACTTGTCTTTGACAGCAAAAGCCGATATATTCCGAGAACCAATCAGAAGGGGCGAATCAAATCATATGTTTTCAATGTAGCAGCGCGCTGATACGACGGCTTTATGAGGGGGTTGTTTTATTTCACTTCCGATTTAGTTTTTAAAAGATAAAGTTTGATGAATTGCTTAAGATTTAATTAAATTTAATTACATTTTAATGTTATTGATTAATGCGTTTGACAGATTACATTCATTTATTTTCCTTCTGCTTCTTCCCTGGTTTATCAGGGGTTACCACAGTGGAATGAACCGCCACTTACTTGACAGATATATGTATTTTTAATTTCAGGTGGTTTGTGTATGTGTTTTATGTTTGGTAAAATAATCTCTAATTGCATATTTAGTGATTTTCAACTAATTACACTGTCTTGCCTCAATAGGTGGATTTAGAGGGTTTTGCATAAAAAGCAGAAGTGGATTTAGCTGGTTGACACAAAAGAAACTTTACCTTGTTAAAAACCAAAGAATTGTCTAAAGTGACTGTTTTGAAAAAGATACTTTATTTATTAGCTAATAACCTTATTACATATAAAATGAAACTATATATATATATATATATATATATATATATATATATATATATATATATATATATATAATATTAATAAAATAATTATTTAGAAAATATTTAAAATTGGAATGTATTTCTATGATTCAAAGCTAATTATTGAGCATATTAGAAAATATTTGTCAAACCAATCTTTTTGAAAATCATTCAACAATTCATTTGACAATTTGGTGCTCAAGAAACATTATTAACAGTTGAATTATTAGTTATTATTATTATTATTATTTATTGTAAAAAATGTGTAAAATGTTTCCTTTTGGTAAATTAAATGCATTCCTTCCGAATACAAATTTGAATATGAAAAAAGAAAGAAATTACCCTTGATTTTGAGTATTATATTATATTATATTATATTATATTATATTATATTATATTATATTATATTATATTATAAATGTGAATTGGGATTTAAGTTGCACAGTACTGTATGTTGAGTGATTTAATATGAACTTTTGTTACTGAATGTGTCTAAATTTGCTTTGTTTCTGCTTAAGAAAACAAATATGTATCTTTATCCTCCCTGAACTGTCATCTTTTTATTTGGGTCTGTGACTCCAGGCAACGTGACCTTAATTCTTTATGAAGTGTCTGATGTTTATGTTGTCATTTAAAGCTGTTTGTTGTTGTACTGTATTCAGTTATGATCTAGACTTTTGTTTCTGTATTTTACTGGAGTTTGAGCTCAAAATGTAGTCTAATAACCCTGTATGTAGTTTCATTTCTTTTAAAATAAGCATGTGAAGGCAATGTGTGTTCCTTATTAAAAACCTCTTTGATTTGGCCTGCTTTCTTTGTCTGTTTTGTTCCTTCTGTTTGTTTAAAGAATCCTTACTAACACTAAAATGCCAGACTTTTATCTTTTGCACTCATGACGCTTCTGTAAGTTTAATCCTCCTTTGTTTTTCCGTTTTCTTTTCTGATTTATTATTTCCAGCTCATCTTAACCGACCACATGTTAAACAAATGTTTCTGTTATTTCAGATTACGTTCGGGTCAGAGATTCCCAAGTCCTACTATGTCCGAGACTCCATTAAAGTGGACTATGAACAGTCTGTGAGTATCGGCCGGGGCTCGTCTCATCAGATGGAATATGAGCTTATCGCACCAAACTGTGCACTAAGGTGAGCGATTTACATTTACATTTACATTCTTTATTATTACATGTTTATTAATAATGATAATCATGTCATATTTAGCAGTGTAACTATTAGGGATGGTAATCTATCCTTAGAGACTTCACGATCCAATTCTGATTCTGGGAGTCACGATTCGATTCTAAAACCTAAAATCTTTTCCTATTTTATCAATTATGCAAATATATAATTACAAACACTTTACATTTTAACCAGAATTGGAGTTCCTTTGCTTCTGTTTATGATTGGAATCTATGGGTTACAAAGCGGTTCTGACAGCGGAGTTGAGGATCCAAATACAGCGTCTTTATTGACAAGAGTATTCAGGCAGACAATGGTCAATAACAGGAATAAATGGGTACATAAAGGGCAATCCAAAAAAGTAGTCGGTACACAGGCAAAGAAATCGGTCCAGGCAGCTAACAAGAAGAAGCAATAAACAAAGCGAGGGTCAGGAAACATGGCACTGAAAGTCAAAACAAGGAAAACGCTTTGTAGTGTACAAAAGCAAGACTTAATGTGTGTGTGCGCAAGTGTGGTGTATAAAGCCGTACTCACACTATGTACAGTTGCCTCGAACCGGGCCAAAGCATGCTTGTCCCCTCTTCCGTCTCCCCTGACGGCCTGCACTCACATTACAATCGGGCCTGGGCGCGCTTACGTCATCGATACTGCGCTGTTCAGTAAGCTCCCTCGCTCAGCACAGTGGAGATTTCTATAATTATATTGCTTTAGTGCTTAAGGATGCGGTGACACGCAGTCAGATATTTCGCCGAACAGATCAGCCACTTTTGACGCTCATAAACAGTCATAAAGTCCTCGTGCTGCAGGAATGAGGAGGCTTGCTGAAGGCACAGCTGTGGTGCAGTGAGGAGTTTGCGTCTGTGATAAACTACAACAGTTTGCGTTCACTGAGCAGTAAGAATGATTAATAAATCCATATGAAACAGTCCCTTAAAAGTCACGTCTTGCTTTCAGTTTCGGGCTTTGGCGCGTTTTGCACTCACACACAAGCGTACCGCGCCAAAGCCCAAGTGAACCGTGCTGATTCAGCGCACTCACACTTCTCAAATGATTCGGGAAACGGGCTTGGGCACGGTTCGGATAGCATAGTGTGAGTACGCCCTAAATAGTCTGT